CCTCTTAACCTTAATATTTGCGTTGCCTTAGAATTCGTTATTTATAATTACATAGGAGCGGGTCTCGCAGCCATGGAGGCAGACATCTTTGCTCTACGGCAGCGCAGAGCCAACAAACTAGTGATTGCGAGATCGCCCATTACGCTCGAAAGTAACTACGGCAAGTTGAGAGAGGTGAACTGAGACGGTACTGAAATCTATACCCTACACAGACTAATGAAATACTATCTGTAAAATTATCTATGTAAACAAACCTCATCACTTGAGAAGGTAGGTGATGCGGACGTCGTGGAAGACATTTTGTCCCATAACGCTCGCTGTACTGTTGGGGGGGAGAAGCGGTGGGGGGGAGATGTTCATGTTGCTGCGGTCTGCAGTCTGGACGTTAGATGTGGCTGAAAATTACACACTGTAGCTTTAAAGTGAAGTCAGGGGAACTCTGAAGAGAACAAAACCTGTTTGCAGCATGAAAAGATGTAATGATAGAGGTTTATTTTCCAGTAGTATTGCAAAACAAAAGTTAAACCTGATTAATTAAATGTGTGTCTGATTTCATCCTCTCTGCCTCACTGAGCATTGTCACTAAATCCAAACACAGAAATAATGTAGTAACAACAAACCTTTTAGAATTGCCAATAAATTTGCAGAGCAATGACAATCAAATGAGTTGCTCTCTACGTCCTTGTTATAGAGATCGTCTGAACTTCAGTAGGTTTTGATTTTCAAATAATCAAACAGAAGTGTGAATGTTTGCTTCTATAGTAATAATCTACAAGAATGAGTGTTATCTCCCCTGCAGTATTTAAATACAAATTGGTCAAAGTCATTCATATGGTGCTTTTTTATAGCTCATAACCTGTTGCACTGTAGGTAATTAGTTGGCGCTTCATGTTTTGCAGCATGTACTCTGGTTTTCTTTACAGCAGGTTGAAGCAAACCACCTTCTGTCACAATTGATGCAGACAAGTAATTCCAGTGAAGTCAACATTTACTCAGCCTGCTGTCACGCCCTTTGGAGACAGGGGTTTAGCTACCTGCCAAGAAACACGAGTAAGGCCGCACAAAAGAGCCAGATTGTCCATTGAACTGTTAAGCCTCAGTGGCATCACAGTAAAGTATAGTATTAATTGTCATGTCAGTCTCATACCTGCCCCCCTTAAAAATAAACCTCCCTGCTGCCCAGCCTTATGCATTAGTCCTGACAGGTCTAGGCGGTGGTTTACTGATTGCTTTGGGGGGGGTGCAGCCAATAAAAGGATGTCACTCTGTTTAACCAGTGCTTTGCAGGGCACGTGTTTCTTTTCTTTTCTTTTTTTTCAGCTGGGGGAATATTTGGAGCTTAGTTTTCCGCTGTTTTTGTTTGTTCATGACAGCGTATCCTCCCAGTTACAGGTTTCCATTATTAACTTGGGCAAAAAGAAAAAAAAACAAGTTTCCAGAGCTGTGAAAAGAAAACACAAAACAGAACACCAGGAATGCCTTCTTTACAATGAAATCATAAAATTGTGACATATTATAAGAGAAGATAGTCTCACTGCCTGCCTGTACTCCTCTGGCAAAATATTTTTTCACTTTTCACTTTCTTTTCCATCTAAAAGCAGATTTGTTGCCATCAGGTTGCACTAAAGGTGGGGAAAAACAGAAATAGTAAGGCAGGGACAGATCATCAAGATCACACATAATCGTGTTAGTTCCCTTTTCAGTTATGAGATTTTATGAGGTAGGTATTGTGAGCATCACTCATTCAGGTTCTTCACGATTTCTCAATTTCCCAGAAGTTGATGCAAGTAAATAGTATACGCACGATGCATCATTAGGCGGCTATAAATAGCCGGGAGGTGTCTTGCGGTGCCACAGTTGGCCACATCCTGTTTCTAAAATTCTCACACTTGTGACACAGTGCAAGGATGACAACCCAGGGGCCAGTGTGGTACCTTCATCAACTCTTGAGTGATTTTTTTTTTTTTTAAAGCGGAACATAACGCTGCATGCCTGTGGAAAATATTAGTTAAAAAGCTTGAAAATAACACCACAGTTAATACGTGGGTGGAGGAAACGTCACATTCTTATTTTTACTGTGACTGAAAAGAAGAAAGGAAGCAATGGAGTTTGCTGTGAGAAAAAGAAAGGGAACATTTGTGGCTTTTTTTTTTTGCTGCTGAATTCTTGGGTTTTCCCAGCCGTTATGCAGAATTACCTGGAGCTGTTTTCTCACCTCTGCAAACAGTGTTGTGCAGCAGCATTAAAGCTGGATCATTTCATTGTTGCATGTGCTTGTTACTTCCTTTATGTCCCGTAATGGGGGAGCTAAAAATAACCTCAGCATGTAAATGCCTGTTTAGCCTCGGAGTGGAACAGGGTTGAAAACAGCTAGCGGTGTTGGCACAGGTTGGATTTTTCCGAAGGGAGTTCCTCCTGTTGAGGGAGGTGAGTCCCGACCAACCTGAGTGTGCGTGTTTTTGTGTCATTGTGTGTAGATAGGTGGGTGTTTGCATTCAAAGCAAAAGGCATGGCAAAGCTTGTGACCTACCTCTTTTAGATGTTCCTTTATGTTTCCATGCGTATAATAGGTATTATTTGTAGTTACATCCCCTAATTATAGATCGTTTAAAATTTTATGTATAATTCATTCTCATGCAACAAGTAGAAGGACATGTTTGTGTGTTAAGCCTGAATTAACACAGACACAGACTGTGTTTTTTTCGTCTGGAAATGTGCTGATGCCTCACCGTTTTCTAAACTCTATCTTTTGATAGCACACTGCAGGCCTCCTTTGAACCTCAGAGTGGGTGGACTTCCTGCCGCTGGTTTCACCCAGCTTGTTTTTCTCTCCGTGTCTACTCCAGTCCCCGTTATCACTCCGATGCCCCCGAAGCACCCTGTTTGCAGGTCTCGGGGTCTCGCCATCTTTCTCGAGTCACTTCCCTCTGTTTTTCCAGAGAATACAGCAGATAAAGGAGGGTACTAATCCCTGCCTGTCCAACCGTGGGAAAAGCGCGGGCACAGGAACTGAATGCAGGAAAGACAAGACGATGGGCTTAAAACACAGATGTGTGTGAGAGGCGATATGTGTTCGTAATGACATCGATATGTTTGGACTGCAGTCGCTGATATCCATTTGTCTGCTTTGCCATGACTATGCCAACTATTAAGTTTGGTTTCAATGCATACAATTATGTGATCACACCCAGTTCAAACTTTCAGCATTCTGTAGGAGGAAAATCTGGTCTTTTTATGTTTATTTGCTTATATTTAATTTTTTTTTTTAAGGTGGGGAGTCTTGTGATTAAATCCTATACAAACAAACTCAGATAGTTGGATTAACTTGTTTTCTTATTTTTCAACAGTAAAAGAGATTGTGGGTTTATATAAATCCTTATAGAGTTAAGCCCCTTTTTTTTGCGTTTTTAAACTCAGTATTTACATTTGAAGGAGTATTCTTCCAGTTAAGAATGTTTTTAATTTCCATCTTAACATCTCTAGAATTGTTGTATCATGATTAAGGATGTCGACTATAACAAATAAGCTACCATCATGTGTTTCCATGCGTTAGTGAAAGTTAGTAAAACGGCAGCATTAACAGCCTAAGCTAAAGTCAGTGAAACTCAACAGATGTTTTTTTTTGTTGAAGATTTTAACAGCACTGTTGGCTTGTTTTTTTTTTTGTTTTTTTTTACAGTAGGCTGACAGGAAAGGTAAAAGACATGTGGCAAAGGGCCACAGGTCAGATTCAAACAAAGGTCGGTCGCTGGGATCGTTTTCCACCTTGATCCCCGTTCTTTTTCGCCCTCATGTCCCTCCGTTGTCGGACAGACATACTTCCTCACCGCCTCGGCCGTATCTAGACCCACAGCGTTGTGGCGTGGAATATAACATAGCGCAGACCACAATTCAAAATTGAGCATATATCAAAAAATGTCTGCGTCAAGTTCACTGCAATACTTTGCTGCGGGGAGTATAAAGGCCTACATACATGGGTCATGTGAGCTAACCACTGCCCCACTAAAGCAGGGCTTGACAGTTTTTTTTTTTTTTTATAATCTGTCTTCTATTTCTATATAGAATTGGTTGTTTAATCAAATTACACACTCCGTTGTCTTCTAAACTGTTTCTTTGAAAATACAGTTTCCTAAGTTTATTATCTGCTGTCCCACCGGGCTTTATGCTCACCTCAGTAACTCTCTGTGTGAAAAATGTTATATGGTAAAATATGTGCATTATTATATTGATTTTCTCTAATGTTAGCATTGCATAATTTAACAGCTACAAAAAGACAACTTGTTCTTTTCAAAAAGCCACTGCACAGATCTAGATACTTATATATGTTTATATCTGAAAGAAGACTAAAAGTTGCCAAACAACGCAAATATTTTGTTAGGTTGTTTTTTCTTTTTTCTTTTTTTTCTTTTTTTTTGTAGATTGTAATCTTAACTCAACCCACATTAACCCACATAAAAAGTTTGTTCAACCATTAAGCTAAGATTAAGAAATTTTAGATTTAGTTTAAGTTTGGCAAATTTATTTTTGGCAAAGTTGTACTATCTTGATCTGATTATTTAGTGTTGATAAACCACTCCTACACAAATGCTAGAAGTTTGAAATCATCGAAGTACAATTCAACCAGTCCCTTCATCATTTCCATGAATGAATGGTTTATTTTTTTATCATTTTGGTTTAAAGACTCATTTCCTGAAAAGGCAAAAATCATGAGGATCAGAAAGTATGACAAATCTAAATTAATTTGCAACAAAAACATCCTCCTCAAAATGTTATCTGATATAATAAATGTCAACTAGTTTATAAAATAAAGTAATTGCACTACATACTGTATAAATGAGAAAGAAATGGAGAAGAAATAAATACACAATGGTGTGCTTTATATACTAAACTGAATAAGTTGATCAATATGAAAAAGTAACTCCTATCACAACCGGAAAAACATAGGTTCTTGAAAACTGTCAGATTTTTAACAATATGCTGTTTCTCTTTTGTCTTGACAGTGAACGAGATCATCAGGAACGACCTCTCCAGCATTTCTGTGCACACTCATGCTTAGACGTCCAGATGTCTTCTGCTGCAGCACACCGACACACCCAATCACACACACACACATTCCAGCTGCAACTTCAGCCAAAGGACAACACACAAAAAAACTAGAGTTCCAGATCATTATGAAGAGGATCTACTGCCTAGGCGTCACAAGCGACAGTTTCTTTTTTTCTTTTTTCTTACTCAGAAAATGGCTGCAGATTCAAACTGACAATCGCCATCAGGCTCTGTTTAAATAAACAAGGTGAATGTTGTATTCCATTAAAAAAGGGAAGTGATATCAGTGGCAAAGTATGTGACTACTCTTGCCTTAATTATCAAATAAATGTTCTATTGGTGGACCTAGCAGTTCAGAAAGACTGAAACACTCCTCTAAAGATGACAATCTTCATTTTAAGTCTGCGTCAATGCATTGACAGGATGGCTGGGTGGTGTCAGGCATCATGACTTTGATTCATTCAGCAACAACCAAACTGGTGCCTTACAGCAGTCATACTGCAGCAGCAGTCATGTGCAGATGGTTCATCGAAGCCCAAAGCAGAAGTTTTTATATGACTTTTTTTGTATCATTTCAACAATTTGTTTACATACTGTAGGAACAGAGTTAATGGTTCTTAAATATGTTGGCTATGTATGGATACATGTTAATCACTTTTTATTTGCTTTCCTATAATTATTCTTAATAATATTTTTTTCATGTATGCTGAATGTTATGTATTATAATTATTTTGTATAAACATATCTGATAAAAATTGTATGCCTTATGCTTCTATCATGGCTTTTTCCCCATTCATTTCCCGTTTTTCATTCTGCTTTTCACCTTAGTGCCTTTTTGTTTTCAGACCTCACCCTTTCTCTGTCTTCCAGCTTTTATCCCCAGATCATGTCATATTGTTGCAGAGACAATCAGAGATTATAAAGTGCAAATCCTGTGATAAAAGTTCCTAATTAGCAGGAGCTTATAGACGTAGGTGTGGGAGCTGAACAACAATGAGTTTAACTGAACAACGGTATGCTTACCTGCTTAATCTACAACGCTTTCTGCTACTTCTTGCACTGCAGGCTTGCCTGTAAATAGGCAACGTTTTTTTTTTTTTTTCCACAACAGGCTCAGTTCTGTCGACATCTGGGTGATTTTACAAAATCTTTGGCAGGACTGTTACTTATTTAGAAGGTGGCAATAATTGATTTTTGTGAACCAAAGGATTTTATCTTTGGTGAAGTTATTGTCCAAGTTTTTTTTCCTATGTAGGTTTTCTCCTACATCAAATAAAATGCACTTTACAGCAGACTATCCTCCAGACCAAATATTGTAGAGTGATCCCCTCTGGTGTGTCACATATCATTTCTTGCCTATAACCGCTTTCATGTTATCTGTCTAATGGCGCATGCACACCATACTGTTGTCATTTAGCTGAGAGTAGCTTTTGGAGTAGCCTACCTATACATTTTTGGACATATTCTGTATTAGCATGACTATCCTGTATGGAAAAGGTTTCTATTTTGTGCCTTACTATCTTCCATGGCTTAAAAAAAATGGTTGCAACTGTAAAACGTTTCTCTGTCGGCGCAAGGTGGAACATTTCTCTTTAATATGACATATTTATGAAAAAATGGAATTTGTTTAAAGTGATTTTAATTAATGTGTTCTCTAAAAATTGATGAATAAATCACACAATGGTGACCATGCAAATGTTATGCCCTGGTGTCTCTTTTACATTTCTGCAAGAACAGAAGCACATTAGTGAGTGGCATTGCAAGATTTTCTATAATAACTCTGACAAACAACAAAAAAAAACATTTGAGGTTGAATATCCTAAAATGATAAATAATTGTAAGCATTGCAAGAAATGTAGGTGAAATTTTACCTTTCCCCAAGTTTTACCTGTTGCAAAGTATGATTCAAAAAATAGTAAAACATTTCAAAGATGCTTATTTAAAGACGGCTGGGTAGGAAAAATAAACAAAAAAACATTTTATCTAATACAAGAGGGTTGGCGTAATGGTTGGACCAAGCATACTGCTATTTTTTTGTTTGATTATATAAAATGAAGAAACATAAAAGGTTTTTTTTTTTTTATTAGGCTACCAAAAACATCTATAATTTGGATTACTAAAGTTTTTTAATGGAGTTTAAGATCATATTTTGATTGTTTTAAATAATTCATCCTATTCAGCATAGTGAAAATAATTCAGAATAGATAAGCTCCAAAAACACTTATCTAAAGAAACTGATATCGATGAAAATGATTGTAAGAATAAAAATAGGGCAGTGAGCACAAAAGAGGTCACTACAGCATAGCCCATGAGAAAATACACAGAATGATAGAAAATGTTTTGAAAATGGAGGAGTATTGTAGTACTTTGGGAACAAATTATGACAGGCGAAGTTATGTGTGATAGTAAATTATAGCCTTAATGGATTAGTAATATTCCTAATTTCCACTCTAACACATCATTTATATGTGAAATTAAAAAAAAGTTTCTCATAAGTTCATTTAGTGCTACTGTATATGTATAAAATGTATAAGTATTCCACAAATTATAAAAACGTAATTATTACGCAATTATTACATAAACAAACCTTTTCAACAAAAAGTTTCAACATAAAAATACTTGTAATGTGTAATTTTACTGGTTTGCAGCTCAAGGTTAATTGAAAGGCTAAGTGTAGCTCATACTGAAGAATGATCAGATTCCTCATTTGAAGCTCCGCACTGGGACTACATTTTTTTTAATTCTTGTTTTAATAAACAACACAGAATGTAAAACTTAGTTATTAGAAAAATTTTATTCTTTTTTTAATTAACAATCCATTATCCATTATAAATACAAACCTCCAGCAATCATGTCATCTGTAACATTTGACAGTGCTGCTGTCTGGTCTTAGATGGCATGTGGTCCATAATTTGCAAAGGGCCAAACTTAATCTTTGCTGCTTTCTCAGTGCCTTCACATAGCAAGACATGAATCCTTCATGTTTTGCGATGGGTACCTGCACCAGGCGGTGGATGTGGTTGTAACTGCTCCTTGCCAAGGGAGCTGCCATGCTCTTGTGTACCACCTGCCAGTCTTACAGACTTTTTCCATCCTGCAAACTTATGAGGCTCCCGCGGTGACAGAGGGCAGGCCTAGGCAGTACGTCTGAACACGACTGTGGCAAGCCCAAAAATAGATCCACTACTAACAAATCCTCACACACCCCTTTTTCCTGGCAAGCAATCCTTCTTACCTTAGGCTGTCTGTAATAGAGTCATACCATTTAAATAGAGGAAATGGCTGGGGATTGTTTTCCCTGCCAAACAGCAACCGATTAAAAAAAGCAGCAGAGCTTCAACAGATCATAAAGGCTTTACAATGTATTTCAATAAATCTAAGAATATGATTTGCTGATATCTTTTTTTTTTTTTTTTACTTAGATTTAAAATGTATAGTTGTGAGAATAATGTATGGTAAAACACATTTTTGCAATGCATTGTTTTTTATTCAACTTTCAAAAAAGTAAATTGACTAAATTTAACGTAGATTGAAAGCTTGCATTTCTAAAATTAAATAAAAACTTAAAAATATTCCGGAACAGAAAAAAAAAATAATGATAACCTAATTTCTTTACATAATATTACTCGATAAGAAATATCTGTTTTACCATATTTGAGACAGAAAAAATTAATTACGTTTTGTGTGAAGAAAAATTCCATTAGGAACAATAATTTTGATAACACATGATCATAAGGCAGGATTTCAAATATATATAGCTTTTTTTATCTTGTCTTTATCCTTTTTTTAATCTCATTTTTATTAGAAACAACAATAAAAGAGCATTGCTCTGAAATGTTAAATTAGAACACATCTTCTCTAAATAACCTTTTTTGTCTGTAGCTTTGGAAAATAGACCCAGATTCTTTATACGTTCTAAAACTGGCTGTGTTAATAATTATTATTTTAGTTACCCTGTACCGGTTTCAATTATGCATTGGTCAAGGTTAGTTTAACAATAATGTTTGAGTTATCAGTTAAAAGATCTTATATTCATTGTGAAAGAGTTGATTCAAATAACCTTAAAGTTGGATTACTTAAGAAGTAGATTTATTATTGTTTTTATTTTTGGAGTAACTCGGCATGACAGACAGATAATCTACATCAACAGAATCTGAGTTAATCAGGCCTGCTTCTGAATTTACTGGTTTAACTGTGACTCATAACTCATCCGGGCTGGACATCTGCCCTTTTGGTAGAACAGTTATTACAAAGCGATGCTCAACAAATCAGAGGAGGACTTGAGGAAATGTGTCTCCATATCACACTAGACAGATGGTATGTAAAGGTGACTTAACCGTCTTTTGATCCAAAGTTTTTACAGTACAAACACTTTGGAAAAAAACTTTGCTGAAATTGTTTCATATTCAAGTGTCACAGTGACTGCATAGTGTGACTAAAATAGAAAGTAAAATTGTTTTGATAATTAATATTCAATTTCAACTATGAAATTTCTTGAAAAAAAAAGTTTTAGAATTACTATTTGAAAACTTGGTTTCTTTGACTAACTTTCAGCCTAGACTTATATAAACATTTGTTTTTTAAAGACTAGGGGATGCCATCTGCCTGGAATAAAAGACCGCTACTAATGCTGCTGCCGCTGCTGCTGCTGCTCCTACACAGGGGCATCTTTAGAAGCTTTTTTAAAAACAGCAAATGCATGTGAAACGTTGGATCAAAGGTGCTCTTTGTTCACTACATTATAACATGGATATCCACCATTTTGTTTTGCACATTTTAAATCATCAACAAATCAGCCAACAAATATGTCAACAAATGTGTGCATGACGTTAAGCAGATGATTGAACCTCTGTCACAATGGCTGACTCTCAGCATTTGGGTTTAAGGAACACCTCAACAATGTTTGTGTATGTAAGGGTTGTGTTTTTGGAAATTTGATTACATAATATGGAAAAATAACAGAAAGATGCAAAACATGCATGCATACACTGCTTACTGTCTTCCAGAAAGGCATGATCTCATGATTCTAGAGTGCCAAAAAAACACTCAGATAATTACTGACTACTGATCACATGCACAGGTACACATTTACACATATTTGAAGGCTATCTGTTTGGTAAAAGTATCGCACATAAGCAAACTAAGGTCTATCTCAGATAAAAAAACATCTGCAGCATGTGGCTTTTTCTCCCCAATGTCCACCTGTAGATACCACCTGGCAAAGGCCATGTCTTAGAAGTTTCATTGTACAGATTTATAGAGTCTTTACTGCCTCATTTCCTCTATTGTATTCCCACAGAGCAGTAGATTTGGGCTTGTATAAAGGCAGTAGATATGCAAAGCACTGTAGCTGCTGCCCTTGCCTATGATCAGCCATCTGCAGCCAGTAAATCCTTAGTATACCTCTGTTATGGAGGGCATGTTGAGAAAACCATGGGGGTGGTTTTAAGAGACATTTTAAGAGATAATTGCTTGACCATACTGGAGAACCTATGATAGTTCTGGCCCATAAGCAGATGCCGCATTTGATCTCTGTAGGTCCCAATGCGTCCGTTTTGTGATTTCTTTATTCTACAGAAACATATGTTAGATTATCATACCCTTCTTATCAGTTACCTTTGGGACTTAAATGAGAACCATGTGTATTTGAGTCTGCGGATGTGAGTTTCAGCACGTGTTTACATACGTATGTTTCTTTAGACTTCTTAGGCTGGGACCCTCTCACTTTTATTGGACAGTTTCACACGTGACAGGTTGAATAGATGACATGTAGACATGTTCGAATTGTTGCTCTCCTCAAGACAAATCACCTTTTAAAAGACACTTTAAGAGACACTCAGAAAAGGCATCCAGATGAGTCCTGGAAAAATCTCGTGATTTCTTTTATTCTCCACCTGCAAACATTCAACTAGATTGGCTCTTTTTTGTCAAGTATTAAATGTTGAGGAAAGATTTATAAAAGTCATTGATGGGACAGATGGCTGAGCACAGGCTATGTCTTTAAATACCTGTTTATATATTCATCACATAGAGTGAGGAGCACAATATTTATACTTTAACTTTGGTTTTGCTTTTTGTGATGGAGCAACAAAATCATGCTATGTGGGCATTTTTTATCGCAGCAGAAACTGACAGAGTAGGGTAAGAATAAATGCAGCAATGTGCAGAGACATTCTTGCAAAGAGAATGACATTGATTTGGGATTGGGGCAACTATGTCTGGGCACAGAACAGCTGGATCCAGTATTT